ATGCAAGAAGGCGGAAATCAGAAGACGACTAGGTTTGCGATGATACTTCTATTTTCCAAACACAAGGAGAATGCAAAAGTGGTATCACACCAAAGTGTGAGCGAAATATATATGAATGTCCAGACAAGGGTGTGAACAAATCAATAGATAGTCTTAACATGAATGGCTAATTATATTGGAGTGTCGATCCATATGTACATAGCAAAATATAGCAGACATGTCAACAACCACGCATATAATATGGATATATGTCACCAAGCAACGGACTGTCAACAAACACTCATATTATATATAATATAAGGGGAATATACATTGTTTAAGGAGACAGGTTCATCAAAGTGAAATGGTCACAGACTAAGCGAGCAAACAGAAAGAGAGATCACCATACATATATATATATATATATAAGTCTATCTAAATTAGAGTAAAGCCTGAAGAAGATGTAATTGAAAACAACAATATTGTTCGCTTATATGTCTTGTTCTAATATTATTTCTGTACTACACACGATTTCGTCAAGTAAATGAGATGAAATTGTTTACCTCTCAGACAGATAACTCGATACTCGGTAAATTACCCAAAAGGGTACGTCCAATTTGATATGATATTCACTGCCCATCAGATTACCACACCTAATTTTTGCTTCTTCCAGCCAGTCTGATCCATTTTGATGAGCATTTAAGAATTGCGACTTACATCTTCATACTACAATTTTCATGTAGAGCATTCCAAGCTTCATATTTCTTCAAATGAACTATTCAAATGACCGGTAAATTAATATTGAATAATTTGGCTTTAGAAGAAGTCTTCTCCATTCATTATATATCTGAGTGTGCATATCATAAGGAACTGTTCTTCTGTTACACAGTTATGCAACAAAACAAACATCTGCTAGTGCAAATGTTTGACTGCAGAGTAGTAGGAGTACTTTTCACTCTTCTAAATAATCCCTCATCAAAGTGCAAAGTTTTTTCTCTATTTCAAACTATTTCTGACAGGTGACAGAACCCTCCCACTTCCCATTTACTGCAAACTAACCAAACTTCGTTTTCACATGCCATTTATGGGAGATTCATAAGCAGTGATAGCTTTGAATTCATTCGAAGAGTACAAGGACAGGACACATTTTCACAGCTTCGTTCCTCTCAAGTACAAAAGAAATTTATTAATGACCCTCAGTCACAGGATTAGACCTATTTGCTCAGAAGAGGTAACTGAAAATGAAATAAGGATTGTATATGATACCTTGATTGAAAATAGCTATCCAGACAAACTCATCAGCAAAGACATAACCAAGAAAGCAGAAAAGGACTATTCTCCATCTGTAAATAAGAAGCCTGAATACAAACGACTGGAATTCAAGGGCCATCGACCTAGCGAAATAATTACGAAGAAGTTCAGAAAATCAGTTTAAAGAACTTTTAATTCTGGTAAATTACCAGTCTTACTTTCTACACGACCGGTGGTCATTCCTTGATTGAAAGATGAAGTACCTAGACTAGCCACTTCTAATTGCATCTACCAATTTAACTGCACTTATATCGGCCGTTACTCTAGGAACTTGATTTTTCGTGACCGCCAGGAAATATCTACCAGTTTGGCCAAATAAAGGTGTAGGAACAGTTCGATATTAGACCACCTGGTTCGAACAGGCCATAAAGCAATCGTTGAAGAATCCTTATCTATCATCCACTGGCTGCCAGATAAATTGTCAAAAACATCGAAGTACCACATGCTCCAAACAGCAGAGGCTATCGCGATTCTCCTGAAACAACCTGTGCTTTGTGCTCAGAAGAAACAGGTCCAGCTAGCCACTACTACTGCCTTATCCGGCCTTCAGTAAAGACTATTAATTCATGAATTTGTAGTACTTTTATTTTTCCTAATTTAACTGATATTCAGTGTATTGTTATGTCGTTGATGCTATCAAACTGTAATCAATTGATATAATTACTGTTATTGATTCAATGTTCTTTCAACATTATTGTTGTTAATAGCACTAATTCATTCATTCCATATTATGTGTATATAACTGTAGAACCTGATGAAAAGGAGGTTGTCGAAAGGAGTATACTTTGAAAATTTTAATGGACATTTTTAATCAGTTAGAATATTTTGCTGTGAATCAGCAAATTATAGAAGAATTTCAAATGTTACATCCCTTTACTAAATCATGAATTCTGGAATGAGACTTCCTATATCCATCCTATCATTGACGAGAAATCGGGATAAAATGTTACATAAAATGGAACAAGGCACCATCATCTATGTGGCGAGATGGAAGAAATTGATGAAAAGCACTCCACTCACTTGTATGGGGATGGCATAAGAGTATCATTAGACGACTCAAAGAAATGAATCTGTTTGAAATCGAAGGTGTTGGAATCACTTCGGTTAACAATCAAAATTGGATAATTCATTTGCTTTGTCCAAGTATCCATGATCGATTTGATGTCGATGTCTTTATTGACACTTTTGACCGCCTAAAATTTCAAAACTAGATCCCATTACATTTGAACTGTACACGTATTTTCAATCATAAGAGCCTAATGCAGTATAGTATTTAAGAAAATGGTTACTTTCAGCGTGTTCATTGGAATTGTATTTTATGAGTGAATTCCAAACAGTTCCTAGGGTGGCTTACCTCTTTCTGATATCAAAGTAGTATAACACCAATAAATAGAAATAATCGCCGAATAATTGATTTGCCAATCTACACTTCAATTCTTGATTTAATTGAGATAGGACAGAAAATGCGAATAATTCTAAATTTAGTGAAGTGAAACACCTTTTGGAAGCGGTGTAAATCACTACAGTCACATCTCACACATTATCGGCATATTGATTCAAATATTCATGGATTATAATGCATGACTATGTTACCACAATCTAGTTTTACTCTGAACATGAAAGCGAGTATGATATCTAAACGTAATCCTCTAGTTTCCATTCTGGTGACTTGCGACCGAATACCTTCTTGAAGAGACTTTCACTAGCATAAAATACACCAAGAAACATTAATTTCTCAAAAACGAATATGTTCCACATCAGTTTGATGGTGACTGGCAGAGGAATTCATGTGGTGGATTTCGTTCTATTTGAGACACTTCATCTGAATGTGGGCAGTGTGCGTACATCGAAATGATGGGCTACAAATAGAATGAAATGCTCATCCTCGACTCCACTGGTCAGCTGCTCTAATTTAGGCATGATCGACTAAATCTCATGCGTCTATATTATCAGATTTATTGATGAATAGTTCATCCCTGATCTCGACAATGCAAGAGATCTCTAATGAAGTAAAAGTTTGATCCAGATATTCGTTTCAGTAGATTCTTATGCATGTGGGTACAATAATCTTACGTGAATTCCATTAAATTATATCGCAATATCTTCACCATAATATGTATATGAAAAGCAGCTGTTCCAGCTTGTTCTGCATACTGCAAAGTTTAACTGTGCCCACAAAAGCTGTAAGAATCTGGTACTGTGATGACGATCAATTATAACGAACAAATCCACTAAATTATGAAAACAGTACCCACTATCATACTCAGTAACTTTCTATAAGTTTCTCTGTATGAGTTACTTTTGCCTATACACCTCGTCATTTTATGAATAACTTCGATCGGATAAGGCTGGATTCAGGAGGAACAAGTCATGCATCGATCAAATCGCAACACTACGATTATCATTGAAAAGAGCTTGGAATGACAGTCAGCTCTCTATCTCACTCAACTTCATTGACTTTGAGAAGGCCTTCGACAGCGTCGATCGAGAGGTAATTTGGAAGCTACTTCGCTACTGTAGAGTACCACCAACAATTATACACCTCGTCCAACACTTGCACGACAATGCTGCATGACAAGTAATCCACAATGAGAAACTTACGGAATCCTTCGAAGTGAGGACGGGAGTAAGACAAGCTGACTAGCTGCCTTCTATCTCCAATGGTTGCCCTGATTTCGGTAGACTGAATAAGAGACAGATTCACAGAGGACAACGAGAAGACAAGCATAAAATGGACCCACACAAAAAACTTCGGGGATTTCGACTTCGGCGATAATATATGTCTGATTTCCTACAAACTGGAAGATTTACAAGTGAAAAACAACAAGTTGACAGAAGAAGCATCAAAGATAGGAGGGATTTCAGGCTAACATAGCGAAAACAGAGGTGATGAAGATTTGTGACCGACAGCAACAGAAACAACAACAGACAACAATCAGCCGGCACTATTGGGAGAAATCCTACCCACCTGGGAAGCATCGTCGTTTCAACTACAGGCAGGTGGAACGGATGAGGATATCAAAGCGAAAATCGGTAAAGCAAGGCAGGCCTTCATTTCTCAAAAGTTTGTGTGGAGATCAACAACACTCAGCATGAAAAATTCGATCCAGATTTTCAACTTCAATGTGAATTCAGTGCTATCACACAGATCAGAGACTTGGCGCCAAGTCGCGTCACTAAAGACACTTTGAACAAACTACACACCCTCATCAACAGCTGTCTTCTCTCAATACTACTCAAGATCAGATGGCCGGCCAGAAAAGATCAGCAACAGAGAGGGATTTCTGGCAATGAGCGAACCAACCCAGCCGGAATCATTGTGCGTCAAATAAGCAGGAAGAAATGAAGGTGGATTGGCTGACCATATTCTGACAAGACAAACCATCAAGTGACATCACACGCCAGGTCATCGCTCTGGTTGAACCCGAGTGGGAAGCGGCGAGTTGAGCATCGGTGACAGGGTGACATGGAGGAGGAGGTCGTGCGAAGAGGAAATGAAAGCATGTGGGCAGACGTGGAGCCAGGTGAAAAAGTTGGCAGAGAACCGAACGCAATGGAAACATGCGTCTGAAGCCCTATGTTCCTCTAGGAACTAAAGGAAACAATAATAATGATTATTATGATTGAAGAAAATCACCGCAACTTGTAAACGACATAAAAGTCTGTTATATCAGCAAAAAAATACATTTCTCATCAAAATATCAAAACATTTACTGTAAGTTGTTAGTTATTTGAAAGCAGAGACTTACACGATCCAACGCCTTCCATAGATCTTCTTCGTCCGTATTTTTATATTTGTTTTCTTGTAAGTAGATCTTGTGGAAATAAAGAAAAGTGACATTGTGAATATTAACCAACCTGAAGTTGTAACATGTAAATGCAGTTTTCCTAATGCTGCTTTTGACTACTGACTTCCACTTAGGCTCATATGAAGTAGATGCCATCTAAGGCACCTGTAAAAATGAAAGATGCTACTCACAACTAGTCACTACTAACTATTTAATATTATCATATACTCATTCTACAGTTCTCATACTTGTAGAGTCTCACATACGCCACTTTCATATATCTCTCCCTGAAAAACCACATTCTTTTCAACTAAACTCAATTTAACTAAATCACCTGTTGTGTAATGTTTATCAATTAAACATTTATGAATGACCGCCATCAGAGAATCAATTAAAACAAGACAAGTGGTCGATTCAAATCTGTAGGTCTGCCTAACAATCAACCCCTTTAAGTCGAGAATAAAATTTAGGTTACCTGAAGGTGAATCAGTGAAGGGAACTGTCCACTTTGCAAAGCGCATTTGCAGATGTCTGATACTTTTGAAAAATAAGACGCCTAGCTGGTTTGTTTACAAACTACCAGTGATGACAGAAAACTACACGTAGAGTGATGATTTTATATGAAAATTCACGGAAATAGATAAAGCTGACGAAGTTGTCGAGTGATGCTCGCGTCTACTACTCGATTAGTACAAAACAGTATGCAGAGTTAAAAAGATACACTTTGGCCAAATATAAAGCACCTCAACTACGTCCAGTTTTCAAACGCATAAGAAACAAATGCTTTTTGTGTAAGGAATCGAAACGTAACTCACCTTCAAGCCATTTAAGAAGACATCATCTCCAAGAAATGACTTCATCATCCGGATTAACGAAGCACCCTGTAAATTGGTAAAGCATAGAAGACTGTAATTCATGAAATATTGTGCACACAAACAGTATGTCTAAAGCCTTGCTCGTTTATTTTAACACCACAGAATACACCAGTTCAAACCCTTACACCATTATATAAACTGATTTTATTGTTGTGAAAAGAAATATTACGTAATCACATATCGAGTATGACACGAGGTATGACACGATCAACTTACTGCGGCACTCTAACAAATAGCCCCATTAGTTTTTGATTTCCTTTCCTCGTTACTATTTTATTATTGTTCTCATCTTCTATTACACACTTATATATTTCATATCCTGTGGTGCATTGTTTGCAATGTAAACGCTACGCTGTTTTTTTTATATATATCTTTTTTGGCTTTGGTTTTTTTATTTATTTCTTTATTCATTTATTTTTTATTTTAAAAATCTTATAAAATTTATTAGGTAATTAGATGCAATATATTGTAATGCACGCTGAAAATTCCATACCTGTACCACAAATACCGTTTGGAATAAAGCTGTTAATGTTATTATTATTATTAAACACTCCGATTTCATTTTTTTATTTATATCGCAGCATCTGCAGTGCAAATGCACCTGAGAAGGCATTTGTGATACGCCACTTTGGCGAAATAAACAATCCCACAAGCCTATAATCAATTTAAAGTCTCGTTAGTGGGACTTATGTGTTCCGGAAATTCCCCATATTTCACATTTTGTAAACATTATAAATCCAATACTCTCCCAATTCAAACAATAAAGCAGTCCACTCTTGTTGAATTGATCCGGTGCTGTTTCTCACCTTTCAGGCTTCTGGTTACCAGATATCAACTTAACAAACTCTTGTATTCCTCCTGACAACCGCATCATGAGACAGAACGAAGTCGTATAGACTGCTAACATCATCATGCATAAAATGCCACACACAAACACACACTGCATTGAAACACTTCCAGGAAAATGACTTCTTCTGCATACATCATAGATAAAGTGTCATTCGGCTTTCATCAGTTCGCTTACCCCTCATGTTTCCTCCTCATATATCAGGTGTGTTCTGTTAGAAACTGTACTGCCTGAATATCAGTGCAGTCCACTTTTGAAGCTCGTCCGTATTACACTACTTATAATTGAAAAGTTCACATTCTTCCCTTTGTTGGGAAGTAAATTTTACAGCCCCTCTGATATTTGTTCGATTGAGCCTATGACTCTAAAATAGCAATTTCTTATCGAATGAAAATCCCCGACGAAATACATGCAGTTTTAAGTCTGTTAACTAGATCCAGCACAACTAAATCCGGACTAACCGTTTAAGATCAAAGTGAGATTGAAAATTATTAAAATTCCACCTCCATATAGAAACTTTGAGTTTTTTTGTCACTTTATATGCAAGTGGTCATTGTTTCTTTGACTTTTCTGGTTGTATAGTTGAGCATTTAATATTGGTATCAATTTCTCTTCTAATAGAAAGAACTGATGGTAGAGAGGATTGCTAATCATTTACAACCATGTGATGATAGCTGTTTCTCTGATTACGTGTTATCCTCTGAATAACCGACTTTCAAGCGGTCACAATACATCAGACACTAACATTTACAATTTAATCAGACTATACAATTACGCTTTACCTCTATCTATTTTATAAAAAAACGCTTTTAAAAAAGCGCCAACCATAGCCATTGTCAAACTAACCTTACTGTATGTTATTGGATCAAAAATGTCCTCGATCTCGTCTGGAGATTTAGCTGAATTAATAACAGGATGAGATTTGATGGAGGCATCTGAGATCATTGCTCTTTGCAAATCGGTAAATATGAATCGTTCATCCTGTTTGGCATAAAAGAAATTGTATTAATTATAGTTTGGTGGTGGAAATATCAAATGACAGTTTCAATCTAATTGACAAGACAAACAGCCCAATTCTTAATTTCAGGTTAAAGTTTCACCTCTCATTAATTGACTGTGTTGCAGAGAAACTATTCGGTCTCTTCTCACGTTGTTGACCCATGTTACAGACGCTTCGGCGATACCCGAGGATTAATGTGATGTGATGTGATTTCAGTTGTGAAATGCAGGATGCACATCTCACTCTAGTGAAGACTCTTCAGCTGAGTGTACATCATCGATCAGTCCAAACAGCATAAAAATGACATGTTGGATTCCCTGACCAGTCAGTTTCAAACGCAATCACATAGCTAGACATATTTCAAACTCTGGTAAGAATACGTCGACTTTCGCATGGAAGATGTTAATTCATACAAACTATTCCAACATATCATGGCTCATCGATTAATCAATCAAAAATTACCTCATATCACCGTCAAGCGAGTCTTTCAGTAGTCACAGATACTTACAAAAATAAGAAAATACAAAATAATTAAGATAAAGCAGCGACCTACGTATTTCCAATGTGGTTGAACAAAGTCTGTACCAGTGTATTCAAGAAAACTTGCAAAACCTTCATTTAACCAGAGGTTGTTCCACCACTTCATCGTCACTAAGTCACCAAACCACTAAAATTTGAAAACAGAAAGAATGTAAAATGCTGTTGTTCACTCACGCCAAAATAAATCTTTTTTATTTTTCCCTATCTAATGTGAAAGTTAGTCATAGTCACCTTCCTGCAGTGTATATGTATATGTGGTGAGAGCTGTCTGCAAGCCACAAAAATTGTAGACAACAACAACTGACGTCAATGTTCACCTCCCAAATCGGGGTCATGAGAGAAAGCAAGAACAAAGCTTAACCTTGAGGAACTCAACAACCAATCACAGCAGACTTGGCGTAAATGGATACGATTCACAGATATATCACCGGACTGTCTAAGAAACGGCAACACAAACGGAGATGACAGAATAATCTTCATCAGGAAAACAACCAATCAGAAGACGTTTCTCCTCTGCTAACATTAACGTTAATAATAATGTTCATAAAAATCTATAAATATCTGTTGATTTTCTCAATGAACGATCTGTTGCCCCACCCTTGTCTTCTATCGCTCTGTATATACTACTAATTAGATTAAAGAGAGGCTTGCAGTGAGAAGTATTTCCAATCAAGGGGCAAATGAATAAAACTTCAGATGGCAGTAAGTTTTCACACGCCCATCTGTCTTTTATCCACATAGAACTTTGTACCGATGTGCGGCTGTTCAAGTCGCCACTCTCCATGTAGCCCACAAAGCAAGAGAGGAAAGTAGAGGAAATGCATTATAGAGACAGTAAACAGATGCGTAGGACAAAAGAATAGTGATAACGAAGAACAATATAGTTTCATTGGAAAGTACAAGTCACAAGGAGTGGATGCATCTGTGCCAACCAATGAGAACGATTTTGAACCATATCACCAATTGTTTCCAACCATTGATTTTTACCGTTCTGAGGACCCCAAACAGGAAGTCTACACCTTCCTACGTGGCTGGCTTAAACTAACTGTTGTGGATTTCATTGACTCGTGCCATGTTTTCGCCTGACCGCCGATAGCTGTTTTCTAGTCTGACCCTGTGTCAGCTAACATTGCCCACTGTCAAGAAGATGATGACTAGGCATACGTAAAACATGTCCAACCATCTCGCTCAATCGGTGTAACTTTACAGCCTCGTCGATTAATTTCCCCTCCTTACCTAGCACTTGACCGATGCCTAACCTCAATATTGCTCACCTTATTATACCACTTCACACGGGAAATAGAGCGCAGGCACCTATGATCGAAGACCACTAATCTTTTCATGTCTCCCCTTTTCAATGTCCAGGTCTAACAGCCATAAAGGAGGACGGAATGGAATGCTGAGCAGTACACCGATAGTCGGATATCACGACTACAAAAGAGACAACGTCGAAATGGTTTAGGTCATTCACTACATTACTCGTGGTTGATTTAAGTAGTTTCAAAACATCAAGAATAAACGCTGGTGATTCGTCACCAAAACAGAACCGATTAATTTGTTTAGATTAATTCACCTATGCTAACAAGCATTCAGTGACCAATGAGAATGACTACTTATTACTTAATTAAATCAGTAGTATATATATGTCGTGTAGGATTTCATCGATGCTACATTGAAACAAACAGCACTAGAGTAGACCATAGTTATACATACACAGCAGAAAAATACAATTTAATCAATTTGAAATTGTCATTACTTGATGAGCCAATTCATGAATAATAACAACTGTCACCCATTCCTTCGATGCAGCTGAACCAGTATACGGATCCCACAACAGTGAACTTTCTATAAATGTTATTAGACCCCAGTTTTCCATTGCGTGAGCCTTAAAGTTGGGAAGTGCAACCATATCTAAATTCAAATACAAATGGAAAAAAACAATTTTAAGTAAGCTTCTCAGTCCACAATCTTTATTTCATTATTCTGAAGGTAATTTTAGGGAACCACGCTGCCTAATTATTTCTGTAGTTATCCTGTTCATAGGTGTTGCAAATTTCCTAGAAGAATTTAGGCGCCGAGTGTGATTCATTCATCATTCGACTCGTTTGAAATAATCCTAGGATACTTGGAAAATCAAAAAATGATCTTTCCAAAAGCTTTTCTATATTGGTGGCATAATAATATTTGTGTAAAACTTGACCATTGTGGCAGTAAGTAATTTCATATTAGTTTGTTTTAGATGTATACTTGAAATATTTCAGTAATAGAGCACAAAAACTAGGTAGTACCAAAAAATTCTAAGACAGAATGTGAGGCATATAAGAGAAGCTTTGAAACGTAATAATTACCCTGATATATTAGTCAGCGAGTATGTAGGGAAATGCAAAAATCAAATAAATAATGATAGCAGCGATTGTGATATTGATAATAATATTATTAAAAATAATAATAATAGTAATAACGACACGTATGTCAAACATGTGCAAGTTGATGACAACACCAACAATAAAGAATCTAAATCATCAAAATAACCTTACAGAGAATTCAAAGGACAGTGTTTTTCCACAATTTATTTCATTGTTCTCACCGGATATCGTCAATATACCACTTTAATCATTCTTTACACTTTATTGAAACAGGCATCCGTTGGTGCAGTGGTAAAATACTCACCAACTACGCCGAAAGTGAACCTGGCTGGAACGCCGGTCGACGAACTTGATAACCTCTCATAACCAATAGTAGTCCCTGTGAAGAAGGTTCGGCTGGAAACCTTACAACCAGCAAAAAATCAACAACACTACTACTGAAGCTTCAAAATGCTCCAGCGTTGAAGCCCTATATTCCACTGGAAATGCAAAGGATTGAAATAATACAATCAATAATTAAATCAATAAATCAGAAGGTGTATCTGATGACAATGAAGTGGAAGATATGATATTCAGCCAATTGCGAAATAATTCCCCTCCCATCCAGGGATGAATGAAGAGAAGAAAAGAACAAAACAGAGAAAATACTTACCCATTTTTGGAAGTGGGTAAGGAACTCCAAAGTAATCTTCAAAGTATGTAAGAATTCTTCTACCGATATCCAAAGCATACCTGGCTGATTCAATTTTCTCTGGTCTTGCCCAGACAGTAAACTGATTAAATGCAAAAGACAATGGACAGTGCTTTGTATATCACCCAACTTGAGATGTGTTAAAAAACACAAACAGAAAATTTTATGAAGAAAATTCCTGAAGCTTGAAATCATTCGAGATACCTTCATTTGTAGTTATGCGGTCCACGTCTACATTTTAACAAATGGACATGCCTGAAACGGAATCCAAATGGGAAGCGACGAGTGCGTCGTCCTAGGGTGACGTGAAGGAGATCGTGTGAGGAAGAGATGAGAGATTATCGCTGATCCTGGACCCGTGTGAAGAAGACGGGAGAAAACGGAACGAAGTGGAGATCTGTTGTTTAAGCCATATGTTCCACTCAGAACCCAAGTGAATAATAATAATAATTTAATAATAATAATCACCATTTGTGAGACAATCTCTATACTTTGACTTAGCTGATGAAAGATGAAACTGTTACTTTGTAATATCAAGTCTACTGAAATCTACAAGGACTCAAATAGTCTCATCACAATTAAATTCTAAGAACATAAAGTAATGAAACAGTTGAATATTATAGGAGAATGAGATGACCTCCTCATAAAGTAACTAAGATATTTACTGATAGGCAGAAACCAGATGTGGATTTGTGATAAACACATACGATGAGTGAGGTTGTGCTGACAAACGTACATTCCGTGGCTACATACTGAAGTTTAAATGCCCAGAAAGCATTGGAAAGAATGAACTCTAGGAATGATCCAACCAAGAACCTATCGCCCAACAAATACCCCAAAATAAGACAAATGGATCAAACACACTCTGAGAAGACCCTTGGGTGACATCACACGCCAAACAGGCCATCTCTCGAGGGGAAGGTGAATAGAAAACAGTTAGTAGACATGAGTCTGAGGATGACATTGTCTTAAGTGCATGAGATATTGTAATCATTTAAAAGTTACTTGATGATTCGTTGTGGAAGATGAGAAAACACACATTCTTCCACTAGTATCTGTTGTTCCAGAAAGGAAAGTCATGAAGGACATACTGATTCCTTAGCGTTTAACAACACAGACAGTATTTAGCCTAACGTCACTTTTCGTATGTCTTCAGAGATTTGCATATAAAGCACCTGTAGTCGATGAAATATCCTTCTGTTTGCGGAAATTTCAGACACCTCTCACCTTACTGTAACATTGTCATTTTCGTTCACACGTAGTCATACGTCAACATAACGTGTTTGTTTAATTTTCGTTAACAAGTGAATGCTTTACAAACACAGAATTATAGTTATCCGCCTGTATAACATAAGAATTAAAAGTATGCACCACATACCTGCCCTTACCTGACACTCACCATCTTGAAATATCACCTGGGCATTTGTATGATGACATCAGAAAGAGAGAGAGAAAGTAACGTCATACAGAACCGACTGTACCTTTCAAATACACAAATATTCTTACTTCCCACACCAGGATAATAAATAAATGCTCACTGATATAAGCAGGAAATACTTTGAAAAAGCCTACTCAGTTCCATACTACTCACATTTCTTCCCTTTGAATCCACAGCACGAAGTCCATGAAATTGGCAAATTACAAATGCCAACAGATATGAAGACATCTTTACACTCGGTTGAAACTGATCTCGACGCCAGTCAGCGTGAAGCGCCACCGTGTTGTTAACAGGCATATTTGAAAGTGTATAGAAATCCTTGTGGCGTACGATGGTGACCTGTAAGAGAGGAACAATTAACACTTGTTTATAGAAGTTGAAGTTCATAACCACATAGAAAAAGTGCTTTCGATATGGAAATGTGTAACATACAAATGCTTTGTCATTCAAAACAACTGTAATCAAACAAAAATTTACTTCATGAGTTCTTTTAAGACGTAGAAATATCGCGAGAAGACGCACATTAATTACTCTAGAGAGCGGAACGGATTCTTCAGCCCTCGACTGTGCCCTTCCACCTATGTACATTCATCAAGTACTTATTACATACAAACATAATGACCAATAGATGTTTTTTCACTGGAAGACGTTGAATGATACTAGTGTATGAATATAATTCTGATTCGATCGATCCTAGTTACCCGAAATAAGGAAACATCAAACTGCCTAGCGACTGACCTTATTCAGGTAGGTAGTTACCTCGGGTTCTAATGGGAAGCCATGACCAGTAGGGTATGGCAGGTCCGGTGTGAGGACAAGTACTCGCCACGGATGACATTCGCTAGTAGTCGAGCTATGTCGTGAATTGACGGAAGTAGGAATTCATGGGCTGGCCATTGGATCGGGTCCCAGTGGCTTAAGGGTCTACGACCTCGCCTTGTAAACAGAAGGTCCTGAGTTCAGACCTCGGTAGGTAAGTACTGTGAAAATTTGCATACTACGACCAAACAACCGACTGTCCAGTACTCTCAGCTAGTTTTCCAAAGGTCCTCTAACCGATGTCAGCTCATGATGAAATTCTGTAACCAATCAATCAAATCTCTACAAACCAGTACTTGAAACTTCCAACTGTAGATTATTTTGACACCACACTGATCTATCCACGAATCGAATAGATAACGTTGAGTGTGTCCCTGTCCATAGATCGCTTCTAGAATTCCATAAAAGACAACCCATATTCTCGCTTCATACTTAGTAACTCATTCGTACAGTGATATATGAAAGAACTAATGATCAATGGAACAATAGACGATTCTTTGGCTTGCTTAATAACCACAGCATATTTTCTGACACCCTGAAATGAATCAAATTGGCTTCCCTTGTGAAATTATGGTCCATTGACTACACACCTATTCTAGATCCTTATACACATATATAGATCGTAAATGCCTTCACATATCCACAGATGAGGCAACATTTCATTTCTCTTTACTCTCAACGAACTACCTCCAAATTAAACAGAAAAAGAGAATGCACAAGAACCTCAATAGTATACATACCTGAAACACGGCCTTAAATCCAGGTTCATCCCAACAAGGAAATACACGTCTTGCATATGTTGGCTCAAACTGTGTGCTTGCTAAGTACCTGAAATAAATACGATGTACCTCGAGTTAATTGAAAGTGTATGTGAATGATTCGATGTTAATTATTCTATTCACTTTTACATAAGATAGAGGGGAGCAATAAAGTGAGCAATTCATGATAATTACAAAATACCTCAGCATACACGTCGGTGTGTTAACGTGAAAATGTCAAGTGAATTTTAGTGTATAACCAGTTAGGAAAGGAGACAGAGAGAGGCTGAGAAATGAGCACATCACGATAAACAAATCGTAATACAAATTGAAGGAATAAAGTTGTTTCGAAAATTCAAGGAAAATCTCAGTAACAATCTCAGTCATGTTCTGTTGAATCAAGATGTATTCCCAATGCAAACATGCTGAACATGTTGAATTTGAAGTAGGCTTCCAAAAGATATTCCTATCGAATGTGACAAAGATACCGCAGGTGTTTAGCTACTTTTTCCTAATTTATTGATTTATTGTGACACTTAGATTGCTTTGGGGGAAAACATACTACTTAATTGCGTCATGAATTAGCAATCAATTATGAACCACTACTGTGTCTTTGTAAAATGTGTTTGCATTGACAAGAACAGGATATTTACATTAAACGCTGTTAACATATACGACCACTAACATATCTTCGAGTCTGTGCAGATTCAATAATCGGATTTTCCTGGAAATCTGTGGTTAGATTTAATTTTACGTACTTACCTGGGGAGTGTGAGTGTATAATTTCACGAAACTTAGTCAGTTTGCAAATTTAAATTATGATTTATTCGGACTAAAAACCGAGACATTGATTTTCACTGCTTTTCCGGTTACTTCAGATACATGTGTAACAACAGAAGACAAGGGCCGGCAACAGATAATTTTATTACGGAAATCAGCACGTATTTATTTATATTTCATGCACATTATTATAGCTCATTCAAGCAGACAAACACAGTCTTCTGATTGTTTGTTTCTTGCTCAAGGTGACTGGCTTCTCGGAAAGTTAAGCCATATATCTGCGAATCATATTTGCCCACGTTAAGTCTGCCGTGATTGGTTGTTGACTCAGTCTTGTCCGTATTTTCTCACGGCCAATATTAGTGACCTAGACATTGACGTAAATTAATGTCTACCAATTGGCTAGCAGCCTGCTCTCACTACACATGAAACAGTCTCCAGTGTGTGCCTTTTTGAATGATCTGGTAATAAGACATGAGTCCCATTGATCTATCATGTATATGTCACTCACTGTCAACAAGAGTAGCGTTTTCATTGCAAGAATGAAAGGCAGGCAGGCATCATCCATTTATCACTTTTCTAGTATCTGATTGATCGGAAATAGACGAATTTTCATTTTGCTTCACATCACCGAAAAGCATTTGCCAACGGTTTGCAGACTTTTGTCAACAACTGCTCTATACTGGAGATGAGATGTCCAGGAAGAATTAATAACACGAAACGCCGGCCGCCGACAAATTAATCAAGCACCTATCGATCAACAAATATTTAGAAGAAAATGGAGATGGATTGATCGGACGCACGTTGAGGAGACCGTCGAATGACATCGCGCTCAATTCAGGCCATCAATCGAGTGGAATCCCAATGGGAAGCGACGAGTGTGTAGTTGGTGCGAGGGTGACATGGAAGAGATTGTATGAGTTGGGGGAGGAGATGACATGTTACGGGCAATCGTGGGCCCAGCCAAACAGGAAAGCAGAAAATAGAAGTGGAAATGTGCATTTTAAGCCCTATGTTCAACTTGGAACCCAAGGGAACAATAGTAATAATAATAATATTAATCACGTCACTGAATCATTCAACAAAATACTAACAACCAACTACAGTGTATGATGATAGATGTTTCAACCTAGTTTACCGACTTTCAGTAATACTCACGATTATTCGCTGCTTGATCTAGTGTGAGTAGCAGTGTACACCCAACGGGATTCGAAACCAGCACCTCTCAATTACAAGACGACCTCTTAGACAATGTAGCCATTGAGACCAGCTCAGAGAATGCTACTACACCAAAGTATCAACATGGGCCACAAATCTTCTCCAGTATATCTGGATTACTGCTTGACATGAGAAATACGAGGAGTAAATTTCGAAAAATTGGTCAGTGACGTTCTTAAAATTAGTTTTCATTTTGAAGGTTGGCAATCTGAGAAGATACTGACAGTAATAACACTAAGTGATAGTTACACTTCATTAGAATTTTTGAAAAATAATCCAACTGCTAAATTCAAGTGGGATGAGATGGACAGTGATGTGAATGAAAAATGATGCTAAAATTTTGGAAATATGAAATAACTGATTGATACTCAACAGACTCAAATTAAATTACTCTGTCTTGAACATCTCCATAGATTTTACTGAACATCAGATTAAAATTCGATTAGAATATGATGCTGTTTCAAGCTGACGTTTGCATTAAGAAGATGATATTTGTGTTCGGGGCGACGGCCTGCTAAAATTGATGGGCTACAAGAATATTCATTCATCGAGATGTTGCTTAAAGTCTTCTGCATTTTAATCATGCACTTATATCAGAGGATTGTTACACCAACTCATGGACATGTGCATTTCTTGAGGCAAACGAAGACAAAATATGCAGAATTGACCCTGTCTTCATATACAACAACACTACGTCACATGATATACTTCGGATTACTACCTTATGTGTAAATCCTGTACGAAGACGAAATATTGTGGAACTAAACACGTTGGAAATTTCCGCACTGTGTTAACACATCGTATGAAACAAAGGTTTATTATGGTAGGTAATTAAGCCGTAAAGAGTTAAGAAGTTCTAGTCACACCTTCTTTGTTCATGTGTGAAAGACAGAGTAAAATCTGTCAGTGCACTACTGGCACTCTCCCACTCTGTACACTATGAATCGCGCTTAATATAGGAATAGAATCCGAGTACTCTAGTGGCGTATAACTTCACATTATTCTATGAATGATAAGGTTTGCTTTGAAACTCATCCAAATGGGAACGTCACTATGAGCTGAACTAAGTTAAAATATTCAACAGAGGACTCAAATCAAATTAGTCCGATGATTATTAAATATCTCGAATAAAAGTACTTACTTACTTATAAGTTCCATTTTCTGCATATCGACTCAGATAAAATCCTACCGGTTCGTAGTTTAGTGAAGAATTAAATTGACCAAATATCAGTTTATAACTTGCATTGGGTTGTAGTGCATCTTTTAACTGTATATGGTACCATTCAGCATCTTTATCGTAGGATATCGTCTGTATTGGAATTTCCGTCTTCTTTGAATCTTCCTTATCGTCTGAAAATATCTATACAAGTTGAAACAAGATGGTGGGGAGTCGTAAAAGTGAGTCAAACTGAATTATTCATAGAAAAGAGACTACTGCACATCGTCACCCACATTTTAATTACTTGATGTGAGTGTTCATCATTTAACATTCAGCCTTATTTGAGTTTAACGGGTAAAAGCTCAACAAAGTCTGTTGTTCATCATTAAACGAATGAAAATCTGAGAATGAATGAAGTAGACTAAAATTAGAATTTCAACTGAGTACATTTCTTTAATATTTTCAAAGCATAGAATTCCATGTATTCATCCTTCAATATCGTTTGCAAAGTGTTGAATAATTGGTGGACAGTAAACTCCACAATGTTAATCTATAAGGGAAAGGTCAGTGTTTGACATGAAGGTACTATCAAGCACTAATCCTTTTATCGAAGCTTTTATCTTGTTCAGTGTTGCAGCCTTACATCCAGTTCAGATGGCTTACTTTTGAAATATTTCATGACATTGTCGAAAGGTTAACATTCAGATAAGTTCAGTTTCAAATCCCTCAAATATGACTTAATCAAGGGGGATATAGTAGACGGAAATTTGTTAAAAACAACTCCTGAAAATTTACCAGTCCTTAATTCAACCTGCAAAGAGCTGAAACTATAAGGTTCCTTTCTGTCTCCACTCCACTTCCCTTAGTCGTAGAAAGATAAGTTTATTCTTTCTACGATATAAACACTGTGTAAGGCAGATTATTCCTTCAATGAATTATTACTGCACTAACAGCTTCCATACACAGAAAAATGTTAGATGGACTTCACTTACGAGTAGTAATATGAGTTTAGAGTTTAAGCTCAGAATGTGTGTAATTCCACTAATTTAAGTGACATCATGGCAATCTAATCAAACAAAAGTAATCCATAATTCACTGCATGGTTACAAGAAGCTTTCAGGAATAAGTCATCAGGCTGCAGTGTGTGGGCCTTCCCAAAAGCATTAACTGTGAATACTTGGATGACTATAATTGATAAGTGACGTGTTATTGTCAACTGACGACTATTTAGTCCAACATGGACGACAACTTCATATATAATTAGTGTTACTCACATAGCTTAAATGAGAAACATCAACAATGAAAACGAAGTATGACAGTACTTCTGCCGTGAAATCAACAGGTAACAACGAATCATTTTACAGTCACACAGATCAAAGAAAACAAAAATAAACTTCCGTATACATCGAATCACTCACTTTGATTTGATCCCTACTGACATTAAGATTGGGATAAGCATGAATAAAGAGTTCTGCAGTTGCTGCTAAACACTGAATCTCTATGGTGACAGATCCATTAAAATAGGAGTCTTTAGTATCTGCATTTCCATGAATATGAACTTGAAGCTGTAGATCATAGAAGCGTGGAAATACAGTTTGTGGTAACCGTATATTCTTTGATGATTTGTTAACTGCTTCGTTTGTCGTCACCCCAGTGATATTATTCGGTGAGGTTTCTGTTCCCTTCAAAAATAAATCTGCATCATATCTGCGTTCAACCTCTGAAAAATATGACAACAGTTCAATTTGAGTAAACATTTCGATTGTGTTAGAAATCAGTCACAGTATTGGTATCCTTCTAAGTGATCCCCACGTGTGGTAATTTTCCGAGAGAAAATCTCAAATCAGTCTGAATACACGGAGTAGTCTAATATGTGGGGGAGGGCGGAATTATCTATGAAAATAAGTCGTAAATTAGCCTTAAATTCCAAATAACACATTCGAAGGATTTGGGTTGAATAGGGTAGAAACATTGTAGGCGTGCGCATATGCTGAGTCTTACTGGATGTCGAATTGAAGAGAGAAGCATGTCCTTAAGGTAAATCGATAAAATACTTCTTTCATCTTTGATTGGGCACTAGTAACTATTGTGATAAGTCTAGTTCCCTGTTTCGTGCAGTCCTACAGTATGGAGGTCAATCGCAATCCTGAATAGCGCTGTGGTAACATCCGCTAACTGCAAACGGTATTGGCTGACGCACTTTTGAACCACAGAAGGGACATGAGCTCCTTCATGGTGACTGCAGATACGCCTTGCTGACTGTTGAGTGTCAACTAGCGCGAAACCTAGGTCAAAGGCTTGCCGATTGCCTTCATTCATCTAACCTCTTTCATCTATTTGTTTATTTTCGAAAACACTTTCATTCCTACCTTAGAAGGTAAATTATAACCAAGAACTGATGAATACGGATAGTAAATATCTGCTGGTCATGAATATGAATGCTTGACATGAAAATCTAAACCTCGACCTGTAAGATTGTCTTTAAAAGAAATGTATGGATTGACTAGGCTTTTCTAAGCGAGCATAGATAGATAATCCGATAAAAGTTACCGTGGGACAACTATAATAGGTTCTTGTATTAATTCATAAACGAATTTGACATGACCATCTCCTTTCATAAGTAAAGCGTGGTTTAATGGATGGTGACTTGTAATAAAATCTAACCTCACTAGGAATCTCTTGAATGAAAACGGGGGAGACAGTTTATTAATCCTGTTTGACAGTTCATCGTCAAATGGAATAAATAAGAAAGACACGCAACTTTGGTGTTAGTAAGCAGGAAAGAGTTCAGCGTCATTAAGTAACAAATTAAACACAGAATTACTAAAATAATCGATTTTTTCCAATTACATAACATTACATACATTAATGAATGCTAAATCATATCATCATATATGCAAAGATGAATAACACTTTACTAACTAACCCATTGGTGTATTATAGCCATAATAACGAAGGCTGTGAATACCAGTCGATGTCACTTGATTGTTACAGAGAAAGACGAAAACCAAGTAGACTGTCGTTAACAACACTTTCAAAGACATTCTTTGAAAATCTGAAAATATCAATCCTTCAGAAAAGCTACTCAAATGATTATTAGCTGACAGTGAAAACAATTCAAACAGTCAGGCTTTTATAGTCTTCTCAAATAAGGAAGTAACATTATTGCGTGATAGTTCATCTCATGTTCGATGATAAATAGTTCAAATAAGCGAAATGCATTCAAAGATATTTTCGCCTTGTAGTATCACTTAGGTCATTAGTGCATGAATAAATTGGAGCACATTGTAACACATTGCACGTGTCATATTGTAAACACAATTTAATCAATCATGTGTCACAATATAGATTAAAATATTTATAATCCATATATTACAGTCATGATTCGTGAACAACTTTCAACCCTTTTTTAATTACAATTGATTCAGTTTGTTTCTTTGTCTGTTAATTCACGTAACATTAAGTTAAGAGACATAATTACACTTCGATGTAGTTGTATCCACACACACAGAGAACACAAACCTCCTTCCTCCGTTATACATAATTACAAATGAAAACAAAGTTTCAGGTGTGGTTTTCATGGCTAGAAATGTATATTTTCATATGAAATGTTTAGAGCCCTTCAGTCTTTGAGATGATCTATGTGTCTTACTGTTATGATTTGTTGTCCTTATTTTCTTGTATGCTGTCAAGCCTATTTTAACACAGGAAGCCAGAGTTCTATGGTTAAAAAAGAAGCTTGTCTAGTCATCTCATTCCATCCATCTACCATGGACTTAGTTTCTTGTAATTTCTTTTAGATTTCTTCCACTTTAACATATCTTTATCGACCATTTTGTCGGTGGAACAGGTCATCTTACATATTACTCAAACATCTTTCTAATTTTATGTTGTTTTCCTTTTTGTTTTCTATACCCTTTGTGATTAAGCATCATCCCACAGTGGGACTACGGATATTCATTCATGTCGGAGTGAATTCTCCTCTGTCCCTATGTCCAATCAAGTGATAACTACAAGTATGCTGAATTCTAGATCTGCCTGCTTAAACCAATGGCTACCAAAATTTCCATTTAGTGAAACTGCATTCACTTCTCTCCTCCTCTTCGTGTACTTTTAATCTTCAAATTATGTATCCGGATTACAACATGAACTCGTGAAAATGTTTAGTTGACTTTCAACCTATTGCTGTGCGTACTTTGAAAAGAAAATGAAGGAAACGATTCGTAGAGAATCGGATGTTGTTTCAGATCAAATGACATCGAGTCGTCCTGTATGCTATCGATGAATAGTATTCTACACAGAGTGTAAATATTCCGGAAGAGATTACTCTGACTGAGAGTTCTGTATTAGGGGCAAACATGATTTTCAAAGAAAATCTGATATAATTGTGACGCTACACATACTACTACCTACATCAACCAGTAGTACTTCCTCACCAGATCTAGTTGATCCAAACAACGAAGACCGACCGTTTTACTCGTTTGACACTAAGTTCATCAGTGGTGTACCCTGTTCGACTCAGCTGAGGGTTCTGAATTAGTTCAAACCAACCGATTTCTTGTTAACTGCTTTGGCAGACTGGTAGTTTGATGAATCAGATTAGTCACTTGCGATTTCCTTTCGATTGGCTGACCCGCTACGGTAGGCGATTTGATCTCTGACATAGAGCCAGAGTAGATAGTCAGCTGTTGGTCAAAGTCTGAAGTAGCTTGTTGCCAATACGTTTTCAGTCACGTGAAGTCTCTACAAACATATAGAAGAAATAACTTCAGATTAGCGTTGGAAATCTGAATTTATGCTGACAGCACCAGATTCCCAAACTGACTTCAGATCCTGGCTGGCTGGCTGGCTGGCTTTGACACCCTCATTAGATACGATTATAAACCATTCAGCGCACTCTTCGAGCTTACTACCCAGCCGAGGCGCTAGATAAATTGTACAACAATCTCATTATTTATTTAAGTTGATATTTCATCTGTCTTAAACACGGCTCTCATCAGAACACACTACCCAGTCTCAAGCCTACTTACTTTGAGCTCGATCGTTAAGCAGCACTTACACGCTACAACGAGTATTCCTAAGGGTATTCAGAGGAGAAGTCTTCAGTTACTGCGGTTAGTTGAGGTCAATCTCGAGTACAACCCATACTTACAAGCCATTGGATTCGGCTGGAATAGTAAAATGGTCAACAAGCTTGACCGTGTGACCAGAAGGTCCTGTGTTCGATTTCCGTGGGTTCCCAAACCAGTATTGACCAGCTTTCCAGTAATCCCTGGTTTTTTCTCTGCTTCCCTAACTGACATCAAACCGTGATCGGACTTTTCACAAATGAAATCCCTACAAACTTACACCTGACAATTTGAGAATAAATGTTGAAAATGAAATAAGGTCATTTCTCCACAGTAATCTGACCACCTACAGCTGAATGTATGTCCTGCTCAGTAGATATACTCGGTTTTTCCAGTCCTCTTTTCCCTCACTTTAACTTTGTTTTTTCTTCCTTCACGTTCCCCAGTGGAACATAGGACTTCAAGCTAGTGGCTTGAAGTTTTTGTAGCAGTGTTTCTTTTACAGGATGGGGTTGCTAGCCTCATGCTGGCCCAACCTTCCCTCTTTACCAGAATTATTTCTGGTTCAGCGAGGTAAAGGAGTGCGTCTGTGGCCGGGATCGAACCCCGGACCATGTGCATGCCCGGCGAGCGTCCTAACCGCTATACCACCGACGCACACCTCACTTCAATGAGTAACTTCAATATTATTCATTGGTGACATAAAAGCTGTAATCCGACAAATCATCAGTATTTTCTTCATCATATCTCCCTCATAAATCTGTTCTTTAAAACAAGTACACATCAATCCAGTGCTGTAGTTTTGTAATAAAGCGAAATCAAGGCAACTAGTCAGAATAAATCTGTGAGCATGTGACATTGCTGACACTTGTACATAATGAACTCAAGTTTTCATAATCTAGACTATTTTACGTGCATAATCATAAACAGTTTTATTGACTGACTGACTGACCTCTATCAAGAAGATAAACTTCGTAGAATAAATCAAGATGACAATTCTATGATTTTCATAACTACACAGTCTGTTGACTGCGTGTCAATTGGCCATTTCGATCTGATTTTGTTAATTTCTAGTAAATTTTCAAGGTTAACCTCGACTTCTTTCTAAAAAATTACTCAGTAAACAAAAAAGGAGTAGCGTAGCGTTGAAACTAGACAATTCGGTATATCTTAGTCGATAAAACGGGAGAACAAACAAAGCCGTTAGAGTAGAGCAAGTGACACATTCTAGCACTGTGATCTGATGACAACAGAGAAACAGTATATGCACACAGTGGTGAAGAAACCTTTGTGAATAGAATTCGGAAAATTTCTGTCTGTATAATAAATACATTTACTCTAAGTACAGAATCAAAATGTGGCAGTAAAAGAATGAATGTTTAAGTTGTTTCTCATTTGTTTGTACCTTGTGAATCGAACTAAACCATACCGCGATATTCTCATTTCATGTTACTGTGTAGTGCTTCGCTTCATAGCTGGTAACCCCCACCAGATGATCTTGTTGCAATACAGAGCGAAAACGAGGATTTTTCGTTCATTGTTATTATCATCAACACATTTGACTAACATCCTGCATTTAAATTGATTCATGTCCTCTGAAGTTTTCTTCCTCTAAAATGGTGCTGTGATTATCACTAATTCCATAGCATGGTTTAACAAACATATTTTGGCATTTACCGAGAAGGCTGAAAGGAAATGGCGATTTATTAGGCATACACTGAGGAGATCTTGAAGTAATACAACACGCTAGGTCATTAAGAGGAATCCAAGTGAGGAGTAGGTGAGAAGAAAATCATATGCAGAGGGAATGAAAGTCTTTTGGCAGTCACGGAGACGGTTGAAAGTGGTGGCAGATAACCACGTGCAAAACGACTGTGCCGTTGACGTCCTATGTTCCACTCGGAACGTAACGAGTGGCTTACAATATATTGTAAAAACAAATGAATACTCCTTATACACTTCACAGAGATTTTAAATTGAACTTGATTTTGATTTCAATGATACAGACTGTAGTTAGACAGTAAGTAATTTAATATTCCCTTAGAGTCTGAGGAATATTTCTCGTTGCAGTGGTATACAGTTCTCCAAAATTACTACTACACAGCCTCGTCATCCAAACTGAGTTCAGACCTTCATTGTCTGAGTCGAATGGTTGAGCATCCTCTCTTGTCGTCGATACCTTCCTCCTACTTCAAACTGATAAGCACGTAACCAACATTCACTTCACTTCTGTGAGTTTCTTCGAATAGGTTTACCGCTTTTTAAGCCGTTGTTTTCGTGTATGACCAGACATCAAAACGCATAGGTCACATACTGACTAACATACCAGTTCAGCTCATGAAACATTCGCCAGAAAATAGAGAGACACGGTTTCCGTAAGCTGAAGCTGACTTCCATGAATATAGGACAACCTAGTCATCATGCCACGTTCCTGTCAGTTATGCGTGCTCTTCCACAGAAATTACACAAATGTGTCACTTCATACACGTGTAACAAAACTAAAACTTTGTTTTGATTGACAATCACTGTATTATTATTACTATTACTGTATTGTTTAAATACTCACTGTTGTTTGTTAATATTTGTTATGTGAATTACAAAATAATTCCGCCAAATACAAATTCATAAATTCATCCCTCTCTGTGTTGTTGGTTGATCTACTGTGATTCGGTCATTGTGAAATACTATTTACTATTACAAATAATTATTACACACTTGTATAGATAATTACTAACTGATGTTTCATTTTCTCTCCTTGAGGGAGAGATTGTGTAGTTAATTATCTGCCACACGAAGTAAAACAATTTTAAGATCTTGTAGCGGTACATAATTCCCCAAAATCATCAGTGAACTTTGGATGCTGACCCTAAGTGTTTAAGTCGACTTGTTTAGGTGAAGACTTCCGATCAAGCATCCTCGTGTCATTTGCGTGCACGATCACTAACCAGCTTAGCTTCCGCTTCAGTCCACGATTTGGTCCCGAAATATATCTCGTAGTTTTGACAGTCAACTCTGGTCTTTTGCATTGCC